TTGAGAGCAGAAAAAGTATAAAAATCAAAAGTAAAATGTGAGAGAGTGCAAGTGAGAAAATTCGGCGAGAGTAGTGAGGAAAAAAAGCTATTTTAGGCAGAACTTTCTCTACTCTGACGTGTTTTGCGATTGTGTGGACTTGTGGAGCTCTCCAAAGACTATTTTCTGCATCGTTTCGATTTTACGTTCGGCTGTGATAAAAGTTGTGAGATTGGTTGAAATTATATGAGAGAATTTTCGTTGAATGAGAGTTGGGAGTGTGGTTGTGTGAGTGCGCGTGTGGAATGTATGAGAATTCGGACTGGAAATACTCGAATAGTAAAATTGTAAAATTGTTGAATATATTGAAGATTTCTCATGTGAAGACACCTCAACATTTTGAAGCTAGTGTGAAGAAACCTGAACCTTTTGATGCTAGTGTAAAGACACCTGAACCTTTTAAAGCTTTGGAAAGACACTTGAACTTTTTCAAGCTAGTGTAGAGACACGTGAATCTTTTGAATCTAGTGTAAAGACACCTCAACCTTATAAAACTTGTGTAAAGGCACCTTAATTTTTTGAAGCTTGTGTAGAGGCACCTGAACATTTTGCAGCTAGTGTAAAGAAACCTGATTCTTTTGATGCTAATGTAAAGACACCTGAACCTCTTAAAGTTTCGGAAAGACACTTGAAATTTCTAATGTTAGTGTGGAGGCACCTGAAATTTTTGTAGCCAGTGTAAAGGCACCTCAACTTTTTGAAGCTTGTGTAAATACACCTGAACTTTTTGAATCTAGTGTAAAGATATCTAACCTTTATGAAAAATTTCTAAAATGTATATAAGCAATTTCCAACGAAATTCATCATTATTTTACAAAATGTTCAATGCAATCAAGACCTTTTATCACAAAAGTCCTTCGATATCCAATGCCAACCCAGAAGTCTGTTAAAATTCTGTCCTTTCCATGAAAAATCATACGCCGAAGCTCAAAACTTGAGAGCAAAAAAATTCAGAAACAATTCTGAATCTGAACCAGAAATGTCCAACACTCACATAAAGACTTATCAAAAGCCGTCTCATTACCGCATGAGTATGGCACAATTAGGAAGTTAAATAACATTCGACCGAGAGAGAGTCGCGTAGTGAAAATTGAAGGTTAATGGAACATGAAACAAATTCTCTCGTTCGAAATAAATTTTCCACTTTCAGAATTGTCGCAATTTCAAAAAACTGAATCTGCGGAAATGCACATGCAAGTCGTACTCAAGAGAGTGAGTCAAAAAAGAACAGAATCGAGAGAAATTTTTCAATTTCATGATACAAGGTTGTAGGGAAATTGATTTCATGTATTTATATCACGGTCAAGGGCAACATGGATGGATGTTCATGAAGTAAGGATAGGAAAGAAAATTAGAGGACAAGGACAAGGTGAAAGGCTGCAATTGATTTTTTTTTTTCGTTCAATGCTGCACCGATGCAAATAAAACGAGGCTAAACGTGGCTTTAAACATGACATGATTGGGGATGAATAGGATGTTGAGAGGATATCTGTTGAATTGTTGTATTGATTGCGAGGATATTGTTGTGGATTGAATTTACATTGCTATATTTTACGTAAACTAAGGACAAGGGAGATATAATAGAGAGCTTCACAATCTAGATGTCTGAAGTTTCAAAAGCTGTAACTAATATTGAACAATTACTGATTCTTGGAATGGCTTTTTACATTGAAAGATGATTTTTGTACAAAGATTCGAGTGAATTCATTACAAGCATATACATTGTAGGCAACATAATTTCGAGGAAGTAGAGCATCAGGACCAAACATTGTTGCTAATTGGTGATATAAAAGTGATTAATGAAAATAAATCGATACGTTTAGTAATAAATTTTTGTCATAACCTTTGATAATACTGAGAAAATGAGCATATTGATGAGTACGACATTTAAACTCGAGTGCAAAGACTTTAAAATCTTCTAGTGTGAAGGCACATGAACTACAAACCTCTAGTGTGAAGGCACCTGAGCTCCAAAACACTAGTGTGAAGGCACCTGAACTCAAAAACACTAGTGAGACGACACCTGAACTGCAAAACACTAGGATGAAGGCAACAGAATTTAAAAACACTAGTGTGGAGACACCTAAACTACAAGAGTCTAGTGTAAGGGCACCTAAACTACAAAACTCTAGTGAGAATGCATCTAAACTACAAATCTCTAGTGTGAAGGCACCTGAGCTCCAAAACACTAGTGCGAAGGCACCTAAACCCCAAAACACTAATGTGAAGGCAACTGTGTTAGAAGACACTAGTGTGAAGGCACTTGAACAGCAAACTTTTAGTTTAAAAGCATCTGAACCACAAAAACCGAGTGTGAAGGCATCTGAACCACAAAACTCGATTCCATTGGCACCTGATCCTAAAATTCTCATTTGAAACAAACTGAACCAGAAAGTATAAGAAAAAAAATTCATTATCAATAATAATGAGACCTGCATAGCTCCTATCAGCAGTCATTCAAATTCAAAATACCTTATCATTTTCAAAAATAATTCTATAAAAATTTCCTTCAACTTCAAAATAAATTGTTCATAATTTTTCAAAAAATTAGAGCAAAATGTCATTGACTTTCATTTGCAATCAGCATTTGTCGAGTTATTTTTTCACGATTTTTTTTTTCGCTGATAATCATAAAATAAAAGTAGACTCGAATTGTTTGTCGCTAGCTTGTTTATTACTTCATATTTTTTTTCAAATAGAAAAATAATAAAAAGTATTGGATGTGCTGTGAGGTTGAGGATAAACGTGCAACTGCATGTGACCAGACAATGTTGTAAGAAAATGTGTGTTGGTCAATTAGAAATTGGACGATTGTTGTCAGATTCAAGACTTTGCAGACAACAGATATGGTTATCCAACGTCTAGACAAAAGGTACAGTTTCCATACTAATTAGTCGTCCATTCTAAACGTTGAAAAGCTGGTTCAACAATAAATTTTCAATTCAACGACAAAGCTTTAAAATCCTCAATAATTACTTACAACCAGAACAATTGCCTACTTAAAATAACATCAAATTAGCAAGTTCCTAATCGTTGATTCGTCAATTTCCTTATTACTTGTTTAAAAAAAGTCATTTTGAACCATTTCGTGAGCACTTTTCTGAACATGACAGCTCCATAAAATTCAAAATCAGGTGGTTATCACCGCTTTATGGCTTATTTTCCATCACTATTGTTAATTTTTATAGTTTTAATAACAAAATGTCTACAACAATTGGAAGTTACGGGATTGTAAAGTAAATTAATTGACATTCATCTTTTGTTTGGTTGGTAATTTGATTATAATATTGAGCAATAAAGACTAGGTTCCTGAAATTTAAAGTTCAGGTGTCTTTTATATAGTCTTATTGATCAAATGCCATTACACTAGAGCTATTTTGATTAAGGTTCCTTTGCACTTAACTTTTAATATTCAGATGCCTTCATCCTAGAACTTTTAAGATTCAGGTGTCTCCACACTGGAACTTTCGATGTTCGTTCTTTCATACTAGAGTTTTTTGGATTCAGGTGCCTCCACACTGGAGCCTTTTAGATTCAGGTGCTTTCACATTTGAGCTTTTTGGATTCAAGTGCCTCCACACTTGGGCTTTTTAGATTCAGGTGCTTTCACACTAGAGATTTTTGGATTAAGATGCCTTCACACTAGAGCTTTTTAGATTTAGGTGCCTTGATATTAGATTCAATCCCATTCATACTAGAATTGCGACGTTCAGGTGTCTCCACACTTAAACTTTATTCCACTGAATTATCAGTGCCTTTAAACTAAGTTTTTCATTTTCTACATAAATTTTAAAAGTCAGATGCTTTTACACTAAAGCTTTTAGTTCAGGCGCATTCACATTAGAGTTTTGTGTTTCATGTGTCTTCACACCAGAGATTTTGTTCATTCAGGTGCATTCACAAGTGAGTTTTAAGATTAAGGTGAATTACCACTAGAGTCCTGAAATTCAGTTGACTTCAGACAAGAGTTTCAGAGCATATTCGCCATCAAAATAAAACATTGCTGCCATAGTAAGCTTTAGTAATGCTACACTTAATATTAAATCCACTTCAATAGATAATCAAGATCTCAAAAAAATAAAAATCTACGCAAAATCCACTTTAGCAAAAAATTACCATATAAATCTACAAAAAAAAATCTCACATTTTACGACTTTATAAAAACCAAATTAAAAATTATTCAACTCCAATTTCTCGATCACATCCATTCGATGCGGTCAAGGACAAGGTGGCAATAAACTCTCTCTCACACATTCATTCTGTTCTTCTCCATCCACACAGTTTCGCTCAAACATTTTTTTCATGCTCGCATTCACATATTTTTTTTTATATTATATTGTAAATTTATAATGAATTAATTAAAGCTACAAAAAGCTGGATCACACACAATTGTGATGAATGGAATAAAGTCAGTAGAGGCAGTCATCATAATCTCTTTAGTATTTCACTAGCAGATGCTCCTATATGCCGATGGATTCCTTATTTGTATTGGTAACAAGAAAAAAAGCTACAAATTCGAAACAAAATGTACGCGAGTGTTTGAAACTCCAGAGATAATTGACCGAGACCATTTGGGTTACGCAATCATTGACCATTTTCAAGGTTCAATTCTAAAAATGTGCTGAAGAATTAGTAGCAAAAAAAAAGGCGAATGATGATGGTAGATGAAGAATTGCTGAGTTACGATAGAAATCGCTTGCTGATTGCTTTTTGGTTTCTATGGGATTGTTCTATGTGTGTGCGAATTGAGAATTCTATTGTTAAGGGGATTTGCAGAGAATTAAAGATTTATTAGATGAATAAGACTGGAAAAATCTATGATTGATTGGAGATTTTATGGCATGCATAGGTCAGGAGCTTTTGAATTAGATGAAGAATATTCAGGTGGCTTCACACTCAAGGTGAAGTTTTCAGATGCCTTTACACTAGCATCTAAAAGGTCAGGTAAATGCACACTAGCTTCAACTAAGTTCAGATGACTTCACACAGGCTTTAATAAGTTCAGGTGCACTCACACTAGGTTCAGAAAGTTTAGGTGTCTTCAAACTAGTTTCAAAAAGTCCAGGTGTCTTCGCATTAGTTTCAGAAAATTCGGGTGTCTTCACACTAGCATCATCTTTTTCGGATGCCTTCACACTAGCATCATCATTTTCAGATGCATTCACACTAGCATCATCTTTTTCAGATGCTTTCACACCAGCTTCAAAAAGTTCAGGTGTCTTCGCATTAGTTTCAAAAAATTCAGGTGCCTTCACGCTAGCATCATACTATTCAGATGTGTTCACACCAGCTGGAAAAAATTTAGGTGCCTTTGCACTAGTTTTAGAAATTCATGTGCATCCACACTAGTGTCAAAAAATCAAGTGTCTTCACATTAGCTTTAAAACATTCAGGTGCCATCACACTTAATGCAATTTTTTTTAAATTTGTCTTAAACACCAACTTCTAGGAAGGTAAATAAGTCATATTTTTCTAAGCTTCGTCATTCAACACATTGTTTATTCCCACACCAAATCTTTCGTACAAAATACCTGTCATTAAAGCTCCTGTATATTTACATCTACGCATATTCTAAAATAAGTTGCTAAGAACTTCTCAGAACTCATTAAATTGCAGTCCATATTTGAATCAATTCTTAATTATGAGAGAAGAAAAAAGAACATAATTTTTTGAGTAAAACAAAATGTTTCCCTCTTTAAACTTGACATTAGCGAGGACAAACTGGTCGTTGAACTCTTTTACATTTCATTTCGCACACACAACACACAACAAAATATATATATAAAGAATCCGACATTTAAAATTAAATTTTTTGGCTTCAATCGCCTTGACAATGAATTCACACATTCTCAAACTCATATACATAAAATTAGTAAGCCATTGACCCAATTGCTGGTGTGCGTATGCCAAACCATATTTTTTTGAATGATATAATAGAACTCTTTTTTTGTGCCTTAAATGTGGACTTGCTGATTATAATTTGTATGATGGGGCTCGTGAATTATGTAAATTTAATGATTATGTATATGCAGGGGTGATAGCAGATGAGTGGGGGGGGGGGGGGGGTCTGGACATTTCATGAATGATGCATCATTAAGAATTTTGCTCAGCAAACTTAAGAAACTGACTTGTTTAGACAGGACTAGCTTCTGGCTGCAAAACCATTATTCAGGGGTGTTAAAGGGCTTTTTACCGGTGCATGAGCCTCCCTATCCCCCCCCCCCCCCAATTTCCTCCACTCATTACCCCTGCATGTACATATTCATCAATTAAATTAAAAAAGTGCCAAGTTTAAAGTCAAAGAGCCAAAAACTTCAAATGTTTGGCGAGACCTGCCCTTGCTACACCCCTGATTCTGATTATGTATGGACGTCAAGTTCATTTTCATTTTGGAGGGAGTTGTTTACATTTTTTTTTTGATTGACACTCTGCTTTTTTTACTACTTTTTCTTTTGTTTATGTGTTCTAGAAAGTTTTTTTTTGTTCTGTGGAATTTGTTAATTAAAATGTTTTGAATGCTAAGTGGGTTCTTTTTCCCAGTCGGTTGATTTTTTGGTTATTTTGAGAGATTTACTTATTAAATTTGGTAAAAAGTGCTTATTGGGACTGTCAATAGTTGTTAAAATTGAGCAGCATTAATATTATGAAAATATAACCTAGAAAAGGTGATCAAGGGTTCAAAACTGATCAAATAAACATCATTGATCAATTGCAGACTCTTGATTCTAACCTCAAAAATTCACAATCAACATCCACAAACTTCCTTATCAGCCACAATAGCCCAATAAAACTTCATTCTCATCATTATCGTCGATTTCTTCTTTTCTTCATGCACACATAAATCTGAGAACGCACATGAAAGTCATTTTTCAAGAATGAAATTATCAAATTGTGAGGTAGCGTGGCCGAGTGGTCTAAGGCGCTGGTTTAAGGCACCAGTCTCCTCGGAGGCGTGGGTTCGAATCCCACCGCTGCCAGAAAATTTTTTGCTCCTTTTTTTGAATTTTATGGATGATTTTAAATAAAAGTTTCTTAATGGACATTGCTCAACTGTGGATGATTAAGTTGTTTGAAGCTTAACTTTTTGATTATTTGAGCTGTTTTCGTGTGTTCTAATAAGAATCTTATTGAATTGAGAGTTTTTAAAATGGTGGTTTCGTTTTCAAGGTTTGAGGATCTTTAGGGACGTGATTTGTTTCCAATAACATCTCAGAATCCGGTTGCTCGTAATACCAGAGGTGAAAAAAGAGAATGTTAAACTGATTAGCCAAATTTTGATAGTTTTTTTATCATTTTGCTCGGTTCTATATCCTTAGAACTCTCTACTTGATACAATAAGTTTCTGGTATGCATTTCATTTCATATCCGTTGTTAAAGTGGTTTGATGCTTAAATGGTCTCTGTCTTATTATTTTCGGTCTTTAAACGCGTTTTGCAAGGACAAAAATTTCGAGACAGATCTCAAGGAGTTCGGATTCCATTTTAAACTGTTGGTCTAAAAGGTGTGGTTCAATAGATCTTATTCTTATTTCAACTTCAGTGCCTTCAGCTAAAAGGGATAATAATCAGCTGGAGCCTTCAACTTTAGAACCAAAGCAACATTATGCTGATTTAAAGATTCTCTAACTTGCCAATATTGCAGACCATAGGCATCTATACCTATACTACTACTATGCTACCGAGAACGCTATGCTTCTTACCTTAAGAATACTATAACGTATACAAAACTTTTAAGTATCAATCAACTGAGACCAAAGAAGGAGATTTTGCATCACTAAATGCCAACAATCCCCAACTTCTCCATCATTATGATTAGCTACTTTGAAAGTTCAAAAGATCAAATTTATTTCGAAATCAGAATTCCATATTTTGGAAATGGAAACATCAAATTCTAAGGTAGCGTGGCCGAGTGGTCTAAGGCGCTGGTTTAAGGCACCAGTCTCTTCGGGGGCGTGGGTTCGAATCCCACCGCTGCCATTAATCTTTTTGTTGATTACTTTTTGATAATTATAGGTTAAACATTTATTTTTTGAATATTTTTATGATACGAAAAAAGACAAAAATCGACGGAAAAGCTCAAAAATCCTGAAAATTCTAAGCTACACAGCAAAAAATCTTCTAAATGATTCTACAATTTACTCAACCTGCAACATCATTTTTACAGAATTTTTCTCTTCAACTTCTTCTTTTTCATCCAATTTCTCATCATAAGCAGCACATTCACTGCCTCAATAATGTTCTACACGCAACATAAAAGTGCAATAATGATGTAAGTTCCACCAACACAAGTGCAAGCATTAGATTCTCATTTTTTATGCTACTTTATGGCCCATGCTTGCATGTGTTTACCTACAGATATAAATAAGTGGCTTCATGTAATAAGCACAAGATATAATGAAAGAATTTTATTTTTCACAATTTGAAATATTGAAGAAAAATGAAATAAAATTAAAAATAAGAAATGCAGAACCAGGCAAGGGAAAGAGAATGAGAAATTGTGAAAGGTAAGAAAGTTGATAATATGGCGCAGGTTGGTTACTTCTTACTTTCAGTAATTGCTGGCTTTTCTGTGAAATGGTCAAAAGAGTGCAATTGAGGTCTCTGGGCTTGGCTGAGGTTTTTTGATCTTGATTGATATTAGAATCCATTAATAACATTCACCTGACTTGTTTAATCATTTTAAAAAAATATATAAAGAGGTGCTAGTTGTCAATAATTGGAATTTTAACCTTACAAAACTTTCCTTACTGTCAAGCATATTTCAAGCATCATCCTGGTCGTCATAAAAGAATCAATCCTTTCTGGTTTGACTAAGAGCAGCTAATTCACGGTCTATGCTTGATCCCTTAAGTTTCTAAAAATTAAAATTCAGTGAATATGAGCTGCTTTGACAGATCAATTCTATTTTAGATCCAAAATATCAAAAACCTTGATTTTAAAATGAAATTTTATTCAAATGAATCCATGTGATTAGCACACAGTGACATCTAACTGACATGAAGTTGGCTTTAAGCCAGATTTGACAATATACAGCTCAATGTAAGCTACACAACAGTTTAAAGCCAGTAGTTGCCATTAACATGTCAAAAACATCTCCTTCATGTTATCTAGACATCCTTGCTTTGGAAATCTGGAAATAAAGGTTGTGATTTATAGAGTTTGTAAGGTTCCATGATCCAAATGCTGCTTTGTAAGTCCAGGACGACAGTAGGTGCTATAACTCAAATAAATGCATCTTTAATTAGCCAATCTCAGAAACAAGGAGCAAACCATCAAAAAGCACCTTGTTGAAATGCCTGTCTAATTAACATGACATTCTAAGCTAGCTTGAATCCAAATCCGTGTTCAACCTAGTCCCACACCAGCCTCAATCAAAAGTATAGGTTCCACAATCCAAATGTTTCTATTATACAAGCCAACATCACACAAAAATCTTAGATTTTTTTTTTCTTTTTTCATTTTCTTTTTCATTTCACTTCCCAACATTTTCGTCTATCGCATTCTGCTTATCTGATCATCACTTAATGAAACTGAAACGTCAAGCCTTTTAAAATAATCTACTCATCACTATTTTGGGATCAAAGGTGATCCATTTTTAAAATTTTAAGCGCATTATTCAAGAATCAAAACATCAAGTAATCTGGTAGCGTGGCCGAGCGGTCTAAGGCGCTGGTTTAAGGCACCAGTCTCCTCGGAGGCGTGGGTTCGAATCCCACCGCTGCCAATAATCCTTTTTTGGCTGATTTATGGTTGAAGTTGTGGTAAATTGCCTGGAGGGTTGGAAAAAGTTGGGGGTTCTGGGGGTTTGAGGGGTTTAATGGGGGATTTGAGTAAGTTTTGTTGTGTTTTGAGGTGCTTTCGATCTTTTTTTGGTATTTGAACTTAAGATCCTCGATAATTTGGATCAATATATTCAAATTACACGTCATGGACCAGCAATTCATCCAAAACAGTAACAAAAAGCCGATCTGAAGTAGAAAACAGAGTGAATGAGTCGAGTAAGTACATCAAGCACACCCGTAGCACCATGAAAAAAAGTGCGAAAGAACGAGAGAGCGAAAAAAAAGGCATAAAAGAAGACATAAATTTATGCTTAGCATCGGTTCGGTTATTTTCAGTCCTTCTTCTTCCCACCGTGCTTTGTGTTGCGAATATGCGATGACGCTTCAAGGTTGTTCGTACGTTGACATTTTTTTCTTCATTCTGCTTTTGCCTCTTTGCTCACAACATATATTTTTACTCTCTTGCCAGTTCCTTCAATTCACTTTATTTACGCTTTGCTGACTTGTTGGATGTGTTGGGGTCCCAGTTAATGCGAGCTATGTTCTGAGGTTCTGCGTTTCATAATCAATCGCAATTATTCTCTTCCCAGTTTTTTTTTTGTTGACTTCTTCTTGATTTTATTTTTTTCTTGGCAATGTTCTCATCATGTGCGTTCGTATTTCTATTCTTGATCGTTAGGTTTTTTGATGTGTGATGCTTTGGTGTTTGGCATGGATGATGGGATTTGAGAGATGAAAAAAATGTTGTGCGGGGTTCTTTTGAGGTTAATTTTGATGCAATATTGGAATGTTTTTCATAGGTTTAATATCTTAAAGGTTTCTAAGGATAGAGTTAATTTT